AGAAGCATTCATCCATCGCCCTTGCGTGTGGGCAGGAGTTGTTTGATATTGGACGACTGGAGAAAAAGCTCCGAAAATCTTCAGCGCCTCAACGGACTGCACCACCGCCAGCCTGCAAACAGCAGGCTGAACACGTCCGAATGGCAACACATGAAAACAAACGATTTGTTAAAAAAGCTGCTTTAATAGAAAAAAGAGCTAAAAAAAGACTTGGCGCATTGTTTTCTGCTCGTTTTGTCATGGCCAAGTGCTGCCAACGCTCGCCAAATCTCAGCTTTTCATGGCCCAAATGCTGGCAGGCCGCTGTTTGGTCGACTGGTCATAAGGCACACTCTTGCCGGAAGAGGCCAGCTGCTGCCAAACGACCCAGGTATGTCGCAGTGGCAGTTCCTCCAAAACTCCGCCATCCTCGTGCAGCTCTACATCGTCAGGGGCAGTGATGGCAGAGTTGAAACCTCGCAACGCGCGCATCTGTCCCGAACAACCAAGGAGCACCTAGCTTGGGGTAAGCCCAAGAAAATGCGACACCCTTACCCTGAGGCCCAGGCTCAAAAACACCATGTAGCAACGGCGCAGCTCATGGGCGAAAACGAGTGAGGCCCAAGACTTTGCCCCAACATCCTGGCGATACTCCGATTGCCGAATTACCTGTTGAATCAAGCCATGCATTCCAGCTTGGTCGCGCCAGTTGTGTTTTGCAAGACGGCATTTTTAGTACCTCTGACGTCCGATCAGCTAAATTGAAGCAGAGAAGCTGCGGTGTAGTGCAGGACACTCACCGAGAACACCACAAGCTGTTCAAATGAATAAAGTTGGGATCGGCAACCGACTCTACAGAATGAGGGCACTTACACCAGCGACTCGGCTGGGCTAGCTGCTTTAGCAGGAACTTCTCGTGGTACAGCAAACTGAACGCTAGCTTTCTGACACCCAAAGCGATAAAGTGGCCTCCGCAGCAGCATGTTCCGCGCGTGGCCAACAAGTACAAATCATCAAGGAACGCTCAACTCCACTTGCGGCACCTGACTCGCAGCCGTAAAAACGGTGAACAAAAGGCAGGATTGCAGGCGCTGCTTCTTGCAACTCCGCGCCTGCCGGTGTCTGCAATAAGGTTTCGCGTCTCTACTGGTGGTGGTGCTGGAGGTAATAGTAGTAGTAGTAGTAGTAGTAGTAGTAGTAGTAGTAGTAATAGCAGCAGTAGCAGTAGTAGTAGTAGTAGTAGTAGTAGTAGTAGTAGTAATAGCAGTCGTAGTAGTGGCAGTGGTAGGTTGTTTTTTTTTTGCGCGCACCTTTTTGCGTCTGCCACGCGGTGAAACTGGGACCGGCGCCGAAGGAGGCGAGACAAAGAAGGCAGCAAAGGCGAGAAGAACGCCATACGACTACCCTCGCAGGGGCAGGCGGCCGAGGACGTCGCCGAGGTCCGGCGCCGCATCCGCAGCAGGCTGCGCGGGCGAGAGCCAAGCGCCGCCCAGCAGGGTGGACACCACGGCGCGCTGGAGAGCTACGCCGAGGAGGCCCCACCACCGGCGCTGCCACGCAACGGCAGCAGAGCGGCGCAGTGCCGCAGGGGCGCGGAGCGACCGGACGCGCACCAAGCGGCGAACAAGGTCGAACGGCTCGGAACCAAAGCGCCCGCCGACTTCACAGGCGAGGACGACGAGCCGCTGTGGGCCAGGGCCAGCAAGCTCAAGGTAGCGCGTTTCCTTGCGCCGGCGCGCGCCTGCGAGCACGGCACCATCATGCTCAGCAGCGCGTGGCTGCGGGCGGCCATTCCGGCGCAGAGGCGAAACCAGCGTGACATCGCAGCAAAGGGCTTCGCCGAGGCGAGTGGCGCCATATAGGACGAAGTCCAGGCGCCGGCGATCATCCGCGGCGACCCCAGGGGCGGTCGTGTGCGCCAGCCACTGCTGCGGCATGACACGAGCCTCCAGGGCCTCGCGCGCGACGCGAACCCAAGCCTGCTCGATTAAGGGGGCGCGGCGAGCGAGAAGACCGCTGCGAGGACACGCTGCGGCATGGTCGCCAAGGGCGTCGAGCGCCCCCCCACAGCCCGGCGTCCCGGCACCTCCGCACATCCCATGCGTGAGTGGCAACGGCAGGCGAAGGCGCCGGCGCAAGGCGACATGCATGTGGGCTGGAGGAAGGGTGGTGCCGGCGTCAGTGGGGACGGCAGTGAGCCAAGCCCCTGCTTGAGGCCCAGACTGGGAGCGAAAGCACGCCCGGTCGGACGGCGACATGACAGGCAACAACTCGCGCTCGCGATAGTAGGTGTGAAGAACACGAGACGCGCGAAGCTGCCAACCATGTGGCCAATCACCAGGGTCGCTGTCGGGGGAAGCAGGCGGCGCAGCACGCGCCAAGCTCGCGCACGCAGCGCTCAGCAGCCTCGGGCCGGCGTTGTGCCATGACGGGAAGGCAGTCCGCCCATGCGCCCCAATAAGCTGATGGGGCCGTGCGCTCCGCACACAGCAAGCCAAGGCCACCCATGCGCGCAGGGAGGAATGCGCAGGCGCGGGCGTGAGGCCAATCCGCCCCGGGCTCGCCAAGGAGGGTTTGCAGTGTGTCCCACGTGGCTTGGTCGTGGGCCGCAGCATAAGCCGCCGACTGAGAAGGCGGAAACGTGCGGAGGAGGTGCTGCGCACGCGGCGCTGCGCAGAACAAGAGCAAAAGCCACGCGGACTGGAGATGAGGAAGCTGCGGGAGTTCAGCAAGCAGGCGCCGTTGGTCAGCGAGCCGCTCACCAGAGCAGCTCTCGACGAACTCTGGGCTGCCGATGGGCACGCCCAAAGCGACGAAGCCACGCTCGGGCGCAGGTTTGTCGCCACGCCACACCTCTGGCCCAAGCTCGGCAATGCCGGGGGGAGGGGGGCCTCCGGCGCGGCTATACACCCCGTAGTGGTAGCAGTAGCAGTAGCAGTAGCAGTAACAGTAGCAATGGAAGTAAAAGCAGTCAGTTAGCAGTCATAATGGTAGCACTCATAATTCATAATGAGAGTATTCATAATTGTGGTAGTAGTAGTAGTAGTAGTAGTAGACAATCGTAGTAGTAGTAGTAGGAGTAGTAGCTAAGCCCAAGGCCGGCACGTTTCCGTTGGCAAGCTGCGTGGCGACCTCGGCAAACTGAGCAGAAGCCTCCTCATCAGCAAGGAGCAACTTGTAGTGCTCAGCGGTGGCTGCTGAAAGGCCTGCGTCGGCGACAGCCGCAGCACACAAGTGGATGCGAGGGACAGAAGCCGGCGCAGCCGGCAACGGCCGGAGCGGCTCTGGTGCCAGATTGGCAGCCATGAGTGTTTGGCGAGCCCGGACAAAACCCCACGCTTGCCCTGGGCGCATGCGCGTTTGCGCTTCGCTTCATCTGTTGGGGGAGATACGGCCGGCGGCGTAAGCCTGGAAGCCATTGCCGCGTCCAACAGCACGCCCTGCGTGGAAGTCCTCCAGACGCTGAAAAAGCGCAGCCTTGCCAACTGCACCACTGGCTGAAACCCGGAGCGCGAACAGCAAACGTGGGACGTACCTTGTGTTTTCATAGGAGGCCTCACCCCCGGCCTTGAAAATGACAACGTTTTACGGGGGCCAAACCAACACCCAAAGCCTCAACAATTGCAACTGTCCTCAGCCACCTTCCCAGCAACTCTCTTTGGCGCCATGTTTCCACGGGGTAGTCGGCTTCTCGGCCGGGCTCGGCTCCCTTGGCTCCGCGGTGCCGAAGCCCAGGGCCTCGTGGGCAAACTGTCTCCCTGCACTGGCGGCCCGTGTGCCCGATGTCCCGCACCGTTTCATTGTTCAGCTAGCCGCACCTCGGCCCGAGTCCAGGCGATCCTTTGCCCGCTTGCGTGACAGGCGTCGTCGCTCTCCCGGCCCTTGTGGCGACCAGGCGCACTTCGGATTCGAGGCTGCCCACTCGAGCCCGCAGCAGCCCGAGGTCGGGCTCGGGTGCTTGTCCCGGTCTCTGGCCTTGATGACCGTCGCGTCGAGGTCATCGCGTACGGGTCATCGCGTACGGGTTTCCCTTGTCAGTTGAAGCGACCATCCGCTCGTTGCGCGCGTGTGTCTCACTGCGCCAGTGCCTAGGCGTCTCCCGCCTTGGCGTCCGCGGCTCCGGACGCCTCCTTGAATGCGCGCGTGCGCGCTGCCTGGGCCCTAGTCTACGTCTCAGCGTGTTAGCCGTTCCCAGCTCGTGACTGAGGCTGTTCTTCGCTCCAAGGCCAAGGCCCCAGCATTGGTTGCTGTGGCCACTTTGGCTCCTTCAGCATCGCGCTTGCTTTGTTCCAGCCTTTTTTCGTCTGGCAACTAAGGCGTTTTCCCGAACTGAACTGAAGCGTGACGTAGTTTCCGCCTCTCAGTCTCACTTGTCGTCTGCCACTATAGAATTTGCATTCTCACCTCTGTGTCCGGTAAAAAGCGCGGCCGCTAAGCCTTGTTGCGTCGTGTGCGCGACGACAAAGATGTCCCGCCGCTCCCGCAGCGCTGGCCGCCGCGCCCTCCCAACCCGCCGCGGTCACACCACCTCTCGATCCGGCACTGGCTGCGGAGGAGCGGGTGCTGGCTGAGCCTCATCCTCGGTCAGAACCCGATGACAGCTGTGTCCGCCTCCAGCCTTCCTGCCTTGCGCCCCGTGCCTGCGCCGGGCTGCCCACGCATCCAAGCGCCGTTCCACCGGTCAAAGGTCCGCGTGATGACTCGCTCGGCGACCGCCGCCTCTCGGCGCAGACGTCGTCGGCAGCGTGCCTCTGCTGCCGACGCCTGCGCCAGGCCCGCCGCGGAAGTGCGACGCCAGCATGGCGACAGCAGCGGCGCTACATCCGGCTCGCTGGGCAAGACCGGGCGCTGCCAGTGTTGCGGCACGGATCCCGCGTGCCGCGTGGGTTTGGCTCGACTCGCTGGATCTGGCTGCCGCCTTCTCCACCCCGCTCCAAAGCGTGCCGTTTTTCATGCATGCTGGAACCCGCCGTGCGTGGTCATTCGCCCTCCACGCTTTGCTTTCCCCTTCCCCAGCCTCGGGCAGCATGCGGGAGCGCTGTAGGAGCGCGTAGAGAACGCAGATGGGGTGTCAGCTCAGAGTGCCACGCCCGCAGAAACGTACGCTTGCCCAGGTCCATCATCCACTTGCAGACGCAAGTGGCGGGGTAGCTTGCCAGCTTTTGTCTTTCTTTATGTTCTTCTGGGTCTGGAAAGAGCAGCTTTTTGAGCCACGAAGCCGGTCCGTGGAAACATGGCGCCAAAGCGAGTTGTCCGGCGTGGGTGCTCGTTCATGACAAGCGTTGCAAGTACAACACGAGCACTACTATTTTCCCGCCATTGCGAACGTTCTTTTGTAGAATGCACGCTGTGTCCAGCGTGGGCGTTTGTGAGCTGCGGCGTGCCTCGTAGCGCCGGCACCAGCTAAGAGCGCTTCGTCCACGTGCGTGGCGCCATCAAAAACTAGATGCTGGTGGCTCGCGGCGCAACGTCTCGCGACTTTTGCTTTCCCATTGGCTCGGGGGGCGCTCGGCCGTGTGACAGCGCGGGCCACGTGAGCAGGTTCAGGAGGAGGCCTGCCGGCGAGGCGCCTGCCTGGCGTGCGGCTCGCGGCCCCCAACAAGAGCAAACCCAGCACAAGCCAACCCCACAAAAGGGA